TAGAAAAACCACTTACCTTATTATAATAATGCGATTTAATCATAAGATTTCTGCAAAGCCTAAAAAAAAATCTTCCGTGATCCAATCGACCATCGTTTCTCCTTAATCCACAATTTGAGTAGTCAAATGACGCCCGAAACAAAAGCAATAGTTTGAGAGGTGATTAACATTAATTGTTTTGACGAGGGAATTAAAATACTAGTGATATTACGTAGATTTGGTTTACTTATATTTGTATCTTAGTAAAGGTAAACATCACCAATTATCAATGTTAACAGATATTTAGTGCAAATTTCAAACCTTAATAAATCATTATTTATTTATTTATTTATTACTGATTTTGATTTATTTATTTTTAAGGAAAAAGTAAATAATTTGTTTAATGTCACATCCAGATAATGATCACGTCTTTTTCTTGTTCTTTGGATAGTTTTGTCAAAAAACAATATTTTTTAAAGAATCCACCGCACGTAAGAATTTACATATATTTGTATTTTTGATTGGATAAGTTACACATGTTGTGTAACAACCAGATTGTACAAATACGATATAATACAAACTGTGACTAAGACATTACACAAATCTTAACCATTCTTCATAAGAATCGAATTTTCATTTGATATGTTTTTATAAGTTTATGGTCTTTGTATTTACAGGGTTCTGGGATAGACATACCAGATCAACAATTGACTGTTCTAATACGAACTCTAGACGTGGATGGTTTCATTAACTACAAGTAAGCAAACTTTTTTTCTTAAATCGGAACCCAAACAGTTTTTTTTTCGTTATTTTTAATTTCAATAAATCTTATATTACAGCCGTATACTGGAAGAAAATGGATCCGAAACTCCATTCAGTCCGGAACCCCGATCTGCATCTGTTGTGAGTTTTGCATCCGAAAAATCTGAGAAAAGCGTATCGTCTGCCAGACGGAGAGCTTCGAGCACTGACACAGGGGTCAGCACAGACGGAAGTAACAAGCCGAAGTCTGCCAAGGACAAATCAAAGAAGAAAGAAAAGAAGAAAAAGAAATGACAAAGTGATTGACATACATTTACTTTACAAACACTATTGTCCAGAACACTGGCAATTAAATTGTTTGGTTTCAGACCCAGTGTTATGCGCGGATCCAGGATTATTTTCCAAGGGGGGGGGGGGGTCCATACTAACTCAAGCAAATGTTGGTCTCGGGAATTTTTGACAAGCAAAAAGAAGTTAACAACTTGACCAAACCTGAAAATGGGGGGGGGGGGGGGGTATAAGGACAACTCACTTTCCTAAGTCAATTTTCTTCAGATACATAACTATCCTAACATTTTACGAGGGGTTTGTGTTTCGTAAGGGGGGCCAAGATCATTTTTTGTTACTTTACATGGAAATTCTAAAATTTCCGTGACCCCCGACCGCCCTCTTCTCTCTACATACGCGCATGCGTGTTAAGAATTCCTCAGTGGTTGAAACACTTTAAAGATTCTGGTCACTGCTTTGACAACGAAGTTGGAACTTTTGGCCTGCGATACACAGACATTGTACATCACGCGTATAACGCCTCCATGTTGTGATTTTTTTTTCCAAAGTTGAATGGCATGCTGTATTTTATTGCATACGGTGCTTAATGTGATAATGAAGTTGTTTTTTTAATGTCATTGCAGACTTTACATTTATGTTTTGTAACAGATGCATTTTAAATATTCATTTCAGCTGGCATTCTATTGTTAATTTTATGTTTTCCATAAATAAATATTCGTAATTCATTCTTGTTATAATATAGAGCGCTCGTAACAGAAAAAGCTCCGTAACTGTATTTTAAAATATATTTACATTAAAAACCAAATTGGAATATTTCGTTAATATATAAATCTCAGTTACTACTGTTAATCTGACCCTCGCCCCTTTTCTTAATATTTCAAAATGTAATATTGTCTTCTAATGCTCAAGTTTAAGAAATAATATTGAGTAATTTGTAACAAATAAGGTTTATTAAGTAGAAAACTTACTATAACTATAAATGTATATTTATTAGAAAATAAATTCGTTTAACACTCAGTTGTATTGGGTTTAAGAACACACTGGGGTGGAGATCTCAACATCAATTTAATTTTCTATGCCTATTTTGGGGTCATAATTGCATTCCACAATCCTTTTAATTTAAAAACTTTCCAACTGGGGGTTTTCTCTTTAAGATACTCGAAGTAAATGTGTTTGAGGAGTATTTAATTTGTTTCAAAATTCTGAGTAGACAGAATTATTTTTTTGTATTCTGTATATGGGGTTTCAAGATTAATCATACGAAACCGTATTATGCAGTCTTTCAATACACTGGACAGAAAGGGAGGTCACATTATACATAAATGTCGACTTTGACAGGAAAAATTGATTTAGCAATTTTCGTAAGAAGCTATTTTGAAAGCTCTTTCCAATACTTAATAACATTTCATTTGGTTCTCTTTTTCTTTTTTTTTCTTTTTTTTTTTTTTAAAAAAGATCATGAATATTTATAATTTTCATTTCTAAAAAAGCTGTTCAAAAGAACATACCAAGAGAGGTAACCACAAATATTTATTAACAGTTTAAGATAAACAATGTTGCAACGTTTTCATAATTAGCAAAAAACTTTAAAAAGGATCAACAAAAAGTGAAAAATTCGCAATAACAAAAAACTAAACCAAAGCATTACCTCTTTCTCAAACACCGCATATAAATTTGGAAAGAAAATCCGAATTCAGTAGGAACTGCAATTGTAATGAAGACCACAAGGCCAACTAAAGACAGCATTTTTGCACATTTTTTCCTTCTCTCAAAACTTAGATACACCGCAGTATTTTCATTTCTGACGAAAAATGCACAATTCAGCGAATCAATCATCCGTTTCATTAACAATATTTTCATTTATTCAAAACTTTGTAGAAAATTAAAAAAAAAAAAAATAAAAACAAACTAACAAATCAAAACTTTGGCTAAATCAATTTACGATCTGCCTGAGAGAAAAAAGAGCATAAACTTAAGTCTATGAGTAGTCACTCCCTTAGAATTTTTATGGTATAAATGTTCTTTCTTGTTACAGTTTAATTAATTTGCTTGAAATGTCCATTGTTAAATCCGGTGTTTTCCCATCAACCTCGATGTACATGTCTAGTTTACAGCGTTCAAGGCCAGGTAAACTATTATTCATGCGAATAATTTCATATAAAAATGTCCGTCCATCTGAGAGTATTTTTAGGTTTTCAATAAGATTTAATTACTTTTAATTAACGCATGACTGCCTCTAAATTTTCGTGGTCGAGTTATTAGGCTTATCGGTAGTAGCGGTATATTTATACAAACGCCTACTTGTATCCATCGGTCCTTCACTTTTCACCGTGATGTTCAAATTGCTGTTTTAAGCAGATTGTAATAAAATTGGCATTGGGGGCAAATTTATATTTAGAAAAATCTAGCATATCTATGTGAATATTAAAAAATATAGTTTTTCTATACACGGGAAATAATTTATAAAAAAAAATTAAGGCCACACGTAGAATTGATATGATATCCTCACAGTTTCAGCCTTTGATCATTTGCTACATTCGTAGACCCCTTTAATCTCAAATTGTCCTTTTGTGTTGCTTTTTTCTTTATTAATTTTTCACCCTGCAGATGGACAAACACTAAGTACATATACACATTTTTGTTTCAGACAATTTTGCATGTTGTTATGTTTATATCCATTTTACCATTGTTTCAAACATAATAGAAAACCATGTTCAAATGTACACAAGGATTACTCATATATATTTTCAATATTTTTGCATTGCTCTCCCCCCCAAAAAAAATACGAAAGACATATTCAAACAAAATAAATCTTAATTTATCGTCATTCATAACTTTTCATCACATTTAATTATACTCCGAGTCTGACATCCATCTTTGATTATTAAGGTCCCTTGACCTCTGATAAGAGAGATAACTCTCAATGAGATTAATTTTTAATGTTCCCTTAAAAAAATTTGTCAGGTTAAAATCCGACATCTGTCAAACTTTGCACCTCAAAGTATGCTGTAAATGTTTCCATATCAATTACAATTTAGATTTCTTTTGGAAAATCATTATCAAAGCAATATTTTACTTGAGTGAACAAAGGGACGATAAACATGAAACATTCAATACTATATTTTATAAAATTTTATAATTATATTACTATGTAAATAATCTCAGGTAAGAAAATGACACAGTTTTGTGAATGAATTCGTCTGATATAAAATTGAAAATTTTGGAGACACAATTTACTTGCCTACCAAAGTTTATTTAATTTGTCGAATATATTGCACTAGTAAGAAAATTAACTATTCAAGCCCCCCCCCCCCTCCTCATTTCGGGACATCATTCATTTGTGTGCATATACTACATTTATATCGTAAATTGATATATAAAAACACAATTTAGAAATCAACAATTACACTTTCAGTTTTATTCAAGTATCATTGCTAAGCAATTATCATAGACTTGAGCAAATGGAAAACACAATCTTGTTTTCATGAAGAATATGACTTAAAGTACTTACAGGCTATTTCTCAATTTACATTGAGATTTATGCCAAATAATTTGTTTCACTCAAAATAAGATAATTTACAACTTATTTGCATACATTTATGCTCATCTGAAACTAGCATCACATTGCACCTTTCATCCTATATCACAGAAATATTCCAATGTACAAAATTCAACAAAACGAAATGGCACAGTGGCACACCTTGTTCAATACCAATATATGGATAAATATTGTAATAAACTATATACATAAACAGAATGAAAGATTAACGTGATTTTTTATGCTGTTGAGAAAAACAGAGATATGCATATTTATACTCAATATAAAGCACTGACTCAGATTTCTGCCAAATTAAATTTTGACAAGAATTAGCCAAATCTGCCCCCTCCTCAAGCCTCCACATTTCATGTGGATTTTTTCACAGTATGAAATCAGGTAAAAAAAATACAAAGTAAAAATGTTTAGATTTCATTTTCCTGCATATTCCAAGGGAAAGGACACTTTTTCTGAAACTGCTCATGCAAAATTCATGTGAAGCACAAATATTTCCTTCTGTAAAAATTTCAGTAGTTGATTCAATCCTTTGTTTTCCTTACAGAACTTAAAAAAAGACTGTTGATAAATGTATTTCAACAAGAATTCTCTGCAAGATGATCAGCTGTCCAACATTGACATATAGGATTTTGGTTCCGCTTTGGAGTCGGCATGAGTTTCTTCTAATGATTTCTTTTGATCGTTTGCCTGCATAAATTTCTTTACCGCTCTTTTCTTCAAAATCAACTCATCATTTCCTTGTAGAAGTTCACTGTTTTGAAAAAAAGTTAAAAGAAATGTTTCATTGCATAACAAAATACAATGTATTGAAACATTCATTTTTGTGGATTAATTTAAAGTGAAGGATAGATTGATGGTCTACAATTTAATTACAGACACCCGTCAGATACAATTTTCACACCGTCAATCAAAATGTGAAAAAAAACTTAATGACCACACTAAAATTATTATAGTAATTGACCAATATCAGACCACTTGAAATGAGAACTGACCTGTGCACGGTTATGGTATTAAATAAGTCTACAGGAGAAAAAATAAAACTTAATATTACCTGAAGTCTATTTCACCATTGCCATCCTTGTCAAGTTGTTTCATCAGCTGGGAAATCTGGGGGTCAGTGAGGTCAATGTTACACCTCTGTCAAGAAGAACAAATACAATTACAAAATCAAAATGGAAAGTAAAATATTTACAATTATTCCTTTTAAGTTTCAAATTTAATTGAACAAATTCAAAGCACAACATTTCTATACAGCCTAAAATGCAAAAAACAAAATACAATTTATTTTTCCTTTAAACTATTAAGCGTTATACGCGCTGTTTACATGTGTATGTGCACACAAAGTTGTTACTAAAAGCATATGTATATTTTTTTCATTATAGTAATGTAAAAGTATACACTGTGACTGTACAGAGTTGTCGGATTGTTATGTTACATGATAAAATCGTACCCTAACACCCTCTTTCAGTTCCTCCAGTGATATGGTAAAACTTTGATCTCTATCGAAAGATTTCAGAAGATCGACCATTCGATACCCCTCTTTCTCTACGTAAGCTTTTAGCTTGGCCATAGGATCTCTCATAAATAATTTCATGGCGTCAATTTCCCCTCGGAGTTTTGTGCGTGGACAATCTGGTAACACCCCACCATAGATTGTTTTTAACCCCCTCTCCTCCGCCAACTGTCCTTCAAGCTCTTTGAACGATTTTTTCACCATGAGGATCTAGAAGAAAAAAAAAATTCACAATGACAATCGACTTCATTAATATCCGTAAAATATACATGTACTATTGAAATATTGAATGTTTTATGATGACCCAATGCAAATAATTTCTTGAATGTGTTTCAAATACAAATATATCCACTAAAATAATGCAATAATATTTACCCCTTGTCTTTAATTGTATTAAATGTACTCTAAAATAAAGTCCAAATGCCATTCAAAGTATTAAGAGAATGTCGAGACCAACTGAATTCAAACTATAAAGAGAAATTGTTTTGTTACCGTATATTTTACTTACACCAAAGTCTAGGAGTTTCAAAACACTGCTTTGATTTACATGAACAGCAGTCAAAATTTTGTCCGCTCCATCTTCTTGAAGAGGATTATATCCAATCTGTAACAGTAATGATAAAAGTTATAGGCACCCAGCTTAATTGTGGCGACCCTATTATTTCAAAGAGAAAGTCATGAACTTTGAGACGGAGTTGACGTCAATCTCTCGCTTTTTATTTTATCAAAAAGTTAAGAATTTGATGATTTTGAGCAGAATCATGTAAAAGCCGCTCTGATTGAAACCTTTGGAAATGTACTGATTTGTCCAGTCAGAGCACTCCTTTCATATTCGCATTTGAAAGCATGGTATGTATTATAAATTATGCTCCGATTGGATAAATCTTTGGTGGTATATCGGTGTTTGTCAAATCAGAGCGCATCTTTCATATTTGCACATTTGAGAGTAAAGTATGGCTTCCAAAGGCAGACAGAAAATAAACATCGATAATTTTGATTGCAGTGGCAGCATGTGGTGAGCAGAAGTGAAATTGATTGTATCTTTGTTAATGATTTTATGCAGATGATAGTTGTTGCATAGCGTGTTATGCCTGTTCAGCTTAACAACGAAAACTAAACAAAGCTAACAGCTGAGCTTGTGTCCCACTGTAAAATCACTTATTTTCGTGGAGTCAAATTTTCGTGGTTTGAGGAAAAATGACTGGTTCGAGGGGGTTTTGATTTCGTGGATAAAGGTGAATCTCATACGGCAGTATGGGATTTTAACATTTCGCGGGGGACATGATTTCACGGGTCTCTCCATACCACGAAAACAACGAAAATTAAACCCCCACGAAAATTAGTGATTTCACAGCAGAATCGGCACACATTTCTTACATACGTTGAGTTTTTCCAGTGTGTCGTTATGCTGCAGACCACCTGCAATATGGACGGCGGCCTCATCCGGGATACGACAGTAACTAATATTAAGATCTGTAAGGTACTTGTTTTCTTTAAGAGCGCCCTCTAGAGCTCTAGCACCCTCTAGACCAAAACCATTCATACTAATGTCTAGATACTTCAGCCCAACATTATCCTGTAGAAAGAAACCGACAATGTATTCTATTTCTATAGCAAAAAACAAAAGGAGGTGAAATTTATCTTCATTTGACTAATTTTCCTATTACCTTGAGAGCTTGTGCAAGGAGAACACAACCTTTGTTTTGGAATCTGTTAAAACTTAGATCTAATGTCTCTAAAGTGACATTCTCATTCATGGAATCGTGGAACCATTGAGCTCCCACGTCTTCAAACTTATTGTGGCGAAGCATTAGCGTCTTGATCGAGGCATTTCTCTACAAAATTGAGAAATTTTGTTTTGAATGTTCATACGTTCGAAATGATAAAGGATAAAAGGCTTTATAAAAGAAAAAAATTGCATACCGTTAACATCTCATAGAATGCTTCAGCTGCAGAATCCTCGATATCATTGCCTGAAAATTCAGTATCAATTTATATTCAAATTTTATATACAACATACTTGTACTTGACTTGGAGGAAGTGAATAACTTAAAAGTAAACAGTAAAATGTCAAATTTCAATACCTGTTAAGTTCAAGTGGATGATTGTTTTATTTTCGGACAAAAGTTCACACAGTGCCTGCGCTCCATCGTTACCGATTTTGTTATCACATAATATCTACAATTATAAATAAGATCAGAAACCAGAAAAATAAATAAAAGAAGACTTCGTAATAGGTCCCCTGATCGATTGACTATGTCTTACCAGTTCTGTGACGTATACGTTTTCCCTGAGGACCTTCGTCAGGTAAATGGCGCCCTCTCCCAGGATATAATTCCCTTCAAGGTCAATTTTCTCTATAACTGTATTAACCTAAAAGAAAAACTAAGATCTTTATTAAAGAATTGTTTTAATAAATTTAGCATCAGATTGTATCAAACCTCGATCATCATTCATGGTCCTTTCTCAAACTGAAAGATGACGCGAGAAAATGCGTCTTAATTATGTGACCAAAAGCTTGTTATAAAATTCAAGGATTATTTGATAATTTTACGTACACTTCGGAATTTGGTGTTCTTGAGAGGAAGGAAAACTTTGTATTAATATTCACAAACTCAAAATTCACATAATAATTGTATGTATATACGAAATTTCCTTAATTTGCTTAATTTGAATCACACCTCTAGTGGTTTGGCTATGGCTTTCATTCCTTGGGGACCAAGACTATGATGCTTCATGACAAGTTGGGTGTCTTGCATGTGGTTTATAAAATATGTAATGGGCTGAACACCGATTTCTTCACATTTCTTTAGATATACAGATTTTCCAGTAGTGTCGTGCTCATATTTCTCTGGGAAGATCAATTCTACAGTGAAAAAAAATCAAGAAAAATTTTAGAGTAAATAGTTAGTACCTCGATATTTATATGTACTACTGCAATATATAGATCAAAAGAGATCTCATTGAAATTTATTTTTTCAGCGATCACTGTTCGAGTTCCTCTGTTTATCGATAGCTATGACATAAGATTTCATACTATCTGCGTCCACTTCCAAATCCGTGTCATACTCTGCAGCACGTGCCTCCTCGTCTGAACCAATGGAGGAGATGTTGTCAAGGTCCTCACCGAACTCCTCATCAAGGTCGTCCTCAATTTCCTCAATTTCATCCTCATCTTCCTTAATCTGACCCTCAATATCGCCCCCAAAGAACACAGTGTCCCTTGGTTCGATTCCTTCTTGTTCAACATGAAAAGCAGTTTCCGGAAGTTCCTCGGGACCAAAATCACCCAAAAGTTTTCTGTATGTGGGGCTTTGAATTCTTTCATCATGTGTGATTTCTTTTAAGCGAGTTAAATCTGTAATGAGACCTGCGGGATCCGTCCGTCTGCTACGAGCAGACGATACTCGACTGTCTGGACTTTCAGACCTACTATGAGACGGAAGAACAAGTGGAAGATCATCGGATTGTATTGGAGTTTTGCTTTTGGTTGAATTCCTTCGCGGTGTTCCCGATTTAACCGAACCATCCCCTGCGCTCGGCATTGTCACTTCTTTTTAAAATCTAGCTTGAAATGTCTATTCGGTTACTTTTGTAGGTCTTCATTCTGGAAACAAACAACACATAGGATTATTTATGATTATTTACTAATATATATACTGTTGCATGTTGTTTGTTTTTAAGATTAAGTCGTTCAAAGAAATGTACATAAAACAATCAATCTTCCAGCTCCCCTCCAAAAAACAAAAAATCAAAACAAGGAATAAACTTTAAAAAAAACAATAAATAAAAAACATATAGAGTAAAAATCCAGTACTTACGTTTAGTACCAATCATTAAAATCATTGAACTGTTTACATAAGATGGAATCAACCTCAATGTATAATTTATCTCACATTTGTCAAATTTCACACGAATGAATTATGCTGAATAATATCACAGTGCATCATTTTGGCGTGCTTTCAGCAAAGCCTTCCCCGGGTGGTTGAAATGTTTTCAAAAGATCTAACAGTGACCATACTTCCTTTGTTTTAGAGTGGTGTAACCTGTATTAAATTTCTGGCTGCATAGTGCCAGGGTGATCAATCTTTTAACTCGATAGACCAATATCTTTTACATCAGTCGGTATCGTATGTTTAATCTTCACTGTTACAGTCAAAACTGCTGACACACAGTGCGAAAATACCATAGAAGAATGATGCTAAATTTCAATAAAATTCCCCTATACTTTGAACGACAGAAAGCGTAAAATTCTTCTAGAAACCTTTCGACGTTGTTTGAAATATCTATAATATAGTTCCGAAGAAATTTTTTTTTAAATATTGATATATATATATATATATATATATATATATATATATATATATATATATATATATATATATATATATATATATGCTTACAGAACAGTTACAATATCAATAGCAATATTTGATGATGCAAATGTAATATGAGTTTCTTTGTTAATATTCCATATGATATCTATGGAATCTTATTCCACACAAATGTATCAATCCTGCAACGTAGCACCGTCTCCTGATACATTGCAAATTCATTTCTCTTGTATTTGAAATATTTTCTGTTTAAGTAGGTGAGACATTTTGCAAGAACCAAAAAACAAAAAAATATAAGTATATATATAATGCCCAATGCAACACAGAAAAACATTACATATGGGTAGGATAATTCAAAGACATATAAAATGTAGGGGGGAAATTGCAGTTTTAAAAATCGGAAAATCTTTCGTCTTAGAAGAATTTTGAAACTATTTACGAATTCCATCCGTCATGGAAAGAAACTGTAACTTACCATTAATTGAATGTTAAAAATCACATTATGTTTATATTTCATATTTCCTCCATTTTAGATTTTTGGTCCTAAACAGAAATGATTTTGAAACCAATACCCCGGATGTACATGACATCACTCTAAGTCATTGCCTAGGCAGCGCAGTGCGATGTTCATGTGTATGTCAGTCTTTTTTTGCTATCGTTAGCATCAATGGGCTAGGGGTGTCCAAGGTCTTTGATAAAAGACAATCATTTAAATGACTAAAACTTGCTTCATCTGTGATTTTGATAACGGGTAATTAGAAGACTATTGTTTGACAATACATAGGGCGCTATTCCAATTACGCTTTAAATTCCAGATGGTGTTTAAAATGCGCATACATTATTTTTAAATGGTGCAAGATAAATTTGTTTCATTGAATTATTAGTATAAAGCTCTGCTTTAATCTTCTTCCTCAGAACTTAAAGCTTGCGTAGCTATTCCTCCCATTCGCAGTAGTATTCTTAACAAGGGAACATAAATTTCAATTTATTATGATAGCTATTTCGACCTTACATGTGAAAACAATCTCTTATCTCAGATAATACTGCCTTCATTACAACCCTTTGTCAAGAAAGATTTTGTTTTGGGAAATGTCCGAAATTTCTCGACCCAGTATCTGTGTCATGAATCGAGTATTGCTTCAATGGTTCCTGATCAAGCAACCAAGTTTATGCAATATCACAATATTAAGGTCCTTTGTGTATCTAATAGACCGCACTCGCTCATCTGATGTGGAACGACCTTGAATTAAAGTCCAATCTATTCCATATCGTAGTAGTTCTAATCCGACTGCTTAAGTTGTGATTTGTAAAATTTTCAAACATTTTAGAGGATCAGTCATTGAAATTCAGAAAATATTTCCTTGTATATGGAAATTCCGTTACGTGGTTTTTCTTAATCGACTTGAGGTGATAATTTATATCTTGTGTATCGACAAAAGTGTCACGCATCATAAACTACGACACTTTTTGTCATCTGTCTTTTTATCCCTGATTATTACCCTCCTATCGCTTGTCTTCTAGTAAGTGATTATTGCCCTCCTATCGTTTGTCTTCTAGTAAGTGATTATTGCCCTCCTATCGTTTGTCTTCTAGTTAGTGATTATTGCCCTCCTATCGCTTGTATTCTATAGCTGGTGACTATTGCTCTCCTATCGCTTGTTTTCTAGTTATCTAAAACACCACAAATGCATATCAGACTCTTTACAACTAACCACTTGCTTTCAGAAGATACACTGTAGGGTTCACGATATTATTTCTATTTAGAAACACAAGTCGGTGGTACTGCATATATATTATCTGGTGATCAGAAATGATTTTGTCTTTTTTGGGTATCACTAAACCTTACCAAATATTCAAACTCAATTCATAATTATCAAGAATTTCAAATAATATTTTGTGAACACAAGATATCACAAAAAATGATTTATTCCTTACATAATAGCAGAACAACATATCTCAGTCCCATGTATACAGAGTACAGTTACCGTTAGGTACACTGTTCTTAAAGCTCATCTGGAATTTGAACTGGATTCCAGGTGCGTAGGCGATCCAGGGATGTCTTCCATTGAAGCGGTTTCTTGTAGTATATGTCAAACCATTCGGTTCAGAGTAAACAGTCTTGGTGAACCATGCCTGCAGAAAAACACAAAGTTAGTGCACATTGTTATACAATTAAAGAAAATAATACACCAACATAAAATATTATCACCCAAATCAATTGGTTCTGACTTACTGAAAATGCAGATGATTGTTGGTCAAGGTCAACAGTGATGCAGTATTTCTTGAGATCCTTAGCAAATTCAAAATCACAAAAAGCAGTCATGGTTTTTGCGGATCCAGCGCTCCATACCGATTCCTTCTGTATGGCTGATGTCAATCCGGGGCCCTGGGCTTTGGGACAGTTTTCTGGGGGAACAAATGCTGGAACTGTTGGAGGCAGTGGGTTAGGGTCCTTGATGTTGCTATTGCAGACCCCTTTTGGTGGTGCCCCATAGAAGTCAATTATAAATTCTACTGACACATTACGAGGGTGGTACTCATACTTGCTGCGCAAACGGTAGAGTTGACCCTCATTCAAAACTTCAACAGTCTTCATAATCCATGACTGAAAAAAAATTGATGAGCTAATATCTTTGTTACAATGTTAAAAAGAGAACAGGGCGTATGTGGGACGCCCTACCCATGTATACTACAGCCTGAATATTTTGTGATTGAACCTCTGAACTACTTGGTAACCATTGTTTCGATTCATTTTCCAAAGTTTGTTCATGTAATTCTTCGATTTACTGTGATATGAGACTATCAGACCTACCTGAAAACCATGAGTTGGTTTGTCAAAACTGACATTCATCCACCATTTTCCTTGCCTCTGCAATTCTAGAACTTGGAAGTGGCAGATCCCGCGCATGTGCCGCTGAACTTCTCCGGGCTGTCTCCAGACTTCTTTTCGTTCTACGTCTACAGTGTATGCCGAGCACAAAGCAATCAATGCTACAAACGACCCTATGGTCAGAGCACACCCACGACAGTCTCTGCATGAAAGAAATTAACGGAACACATTAAAGAATATAAAATAAGTTGATAAAAGTTTGAAGTTTATTACAAAATAATTTTTAATTGTATATTAAAATTGGCCAAAATAAAAAAAAAAATTAAAAAAAGCAAAGTTTTCACATCTCTGAAAAAAAAAATTATGGTTAGGATTTTTACCTCATGTTTTGCTGCAGATCAAATATGTGATACAACTTTTTGATTATCGATTACTTTTATAATGTACAGAGGTAGATTTAAGGTCCAAATGACGCCAGTCCGTTGACGTCTAATTCTAATGCATTGTTTACACTGGCTGGACTTGTGTCACGGTGGAGTGAACTTTAATTCATGTTATTCTGATCAGACTATAGAAGGAAAATAAACGTGGGCTAAGAATTTACTTTAAATTTTAGAAAAAATGCTGACTTTGTTGTGCGTGCTCACAATGCTTAAGGTGAAGGTCAAACAGCTGTACATTTTGGTTGCTTTTTATTTAATTTTATTTTGTAAAATACAAGACAATACCTTTGTGTGTGCAAAAGTAGCCACTGCATTGTGTTGTTTTTGGAGGGGTATGGGGATTTTAACGTATTTTAGCAGTAAATATGATACATTGTGTGAACTGTTCAATAAAAAGAAAGACCAAAATCAATCAATCAAACAAAAAAGAACAAAGCAAAAAAATCAAACAAACAAAAACAAGAGACATAAGCAAAAACAAAATTGAACAAAAATACATGCACTACTTTCTCGAGTTCAGTTCCAAAGAGCAATAAAACCGAACTTTATTTAGAACAAAAGATTTCAAAAAGCTTATCGTTGTTAATTGTATAATGAAAATGAACTGACTTTTTTCAAAGGCTAGTATGCAGATGTTCAAGATGCAATGTAAAAGCAAAAAAATTGGGTGATTTTTAAGTGCAAGAAATAGAATTTAAATTGTTTTATTATTATTATTATCATTATTATTATTATTGTTATTATTTCGCCATAATGAAGACCTTGTTTTCCATAACCAATTTATTACAGCAAAGAAAGACGAATTATAGTAAAGAGTAATTTTGAACACAAAAGACATAACTAACTCGAAGGGATTATGATTATAAGATATTTCACTATTGGTGATTATATTTACATTTAATGAAAGGTAAGCAAGGAGTCAGCCATAAAACAAATAAATAATCCATATGTCTGAGTCAATAAACATTTATACACGCCAATTAGTCATACAAGGATCTTAAAGAAAATTATTTTAAAAATGGTATATTTTAAATTCTAAATTTGGTATATAGTGATTAATTGTACATGCATTTCTACTAATGATAAAAAAGTAAATTTTTCGTCCTGTTCAATAATTTCATATATTTGCATCTTGTTCATTTTTAACAGGCTAACATATTATTACGGAAAGACTTATTTTTTGCTTGTTTTTGTTTCTTTTACGGGTATAATTCCTCTTTAGTCAAACACTTTTAAAAAAAATCAACAATCTCTATGCAAAATAAAACAAGAATCTTGGAATTTGTTAAAAACATTTTTAGCCGCCGTGGTTTTATCGTATACTAACTGACCATACCCCTGAATAATGTTAACGCATGAATTGTATTGAAATTTTTTATCCAAACAAAAATAAAAGGCTGGACTGGAGATTTAAATCTCGTGTAACTACGTCATAACCTTGTTTTGCTGACCCGAAGAAAACTTCCTTGGGATATAAATAGAGGTTCTCTCGGAACTGTCCAACAAAAGAGTACGAACGGGAGAAAAAGAAGAGAGCCGAATAGGACAACCAAAGAGAAACTCTGGGAAAAGACATAATGAAGTGAGTTTTGTTTAATAATTAGTTATATACCACTAAAACGATTTTATAATTACTTTTCAATATTTATTCGTAAAATAATAAATCTTTTTTTTTTTTTTTTTTTTACAAAAAAATCCCCAAAAAATGCTTTTAAAAGAGAGGAAGAAATGAGTTGGGTTTTTTTTCCAGTTGTTTATTGGCTTGCAACCAATTCTCAGACATTTTTATGAAGGAAAATTTTGATATTTTTTATGCACAATTAGTCATATACATATTTTGTATTAAAGATCATATTTTTTTGTAAAGGGCAGTATCCTCTTTCAGTCTTTCTTACATGTCACCACATTTTTGGACACTAATTTTTTTTTAAGTCATGGGTGCAAGACTTCGATGCAAGTTTTTACATTTGTCATGCCAAATAAGCTTTAAAATGTTTGACAATGATTTTTGCTACGTGACAATAGCAAATTAAGTATTATGGGTTTTTTCCCAAAGACATGTGCCACGTCTCCCTTTTTTCACATATTGCGCATTTAATTCTTCTAATATATTTTATTTTCATTCAAATCAACTAATGATATGAGGAAATCCTGTATAATGACTAATTTTTAAAAAAAATCCTCATTACAAAACATGTGTGATGATTAGCACTTTACACGTAAAAGATGAAATTAACATGGGAATTAATTAATCATGCATTTGCCCTTTGCGCACGCACAACTTAAACAAGAAATTTTATAAAATAATATATATATATATATATATATATATATATATATATATATATATATATATATATATATATATATATATATATATATATATATATATATATATATATATATATATTTCAAATAAAGTTTTGTCAAACTTCAAGCAAAACTTGGTCGCTAACTAGTATTATGCACCAGCTGCAAGCAAACAATGCAATGCAATTATTTAAAATGTCCCTATTTCTTTCTATACCCAGGTACAGTTTAGCAATACTACTGGCTTTCTGGGCGGGTGTAAGTGCAATTTATGAGGTACCCGTACAGAAGGGAAATGTCTGGGGAAATAATAGGTCTGCTCGGAAAATGAAAGGATGGTGCGTGTTCGAACTAAACGAATCCAGAGACGCAGGGGACATCAAAATGGACCTCATCTTTAACAAACCCACTAGAAATCTTCAGGTATAGGATATATTTTAGGTTCATTTGCAAATTCTAAAGCCTTTTCGACTTTTTTTCGAAAATAAAGCAAAAAGTGTGTTTTCCCTCGACATGTCTGTGATAGAGCCGTTAGCCAGGAGAAAATACTGCTATGCATACTCTATTTCTTCACTTTTAACCTAGATAAACATTATAAAGGAATGTGTAGCTTAACATTTCAGTAAAATATCTAACCATAAAAATGTAAGAAATGCATTTAATTTATTACAGTTACATGTAGTTATAAAGCTTGAGCTTCATTCCAGAATGATAAATTATTTCAGCTCTTTATCAAATCATTCTGAATGACTGCTATGACAGAAGCAATAATACCTCCTTCAATTTTTCAAATGAATAAAAGAAAATAATATAATTGACGTTGATGTAATCAAGAACACACAATATAAATTATGATTTTTATTTTCTTTAACAGATATGGATAATGAATATCGATAAAACACTGAATAGGGGACGGGCATATGAATTATCTAGCAAATATCCATATTCCAATACGATGCTGAAAGTTGAATTCATTTTGACATATAGAGGTGGCAAGAAAAAGTTTCCAAGAGGAAGATGCATTAGTAACATAACGCCACCTTCTACAACAACACAAATGCCCACTACGCATGCGTCAGTGACACCACAAGCAAGTACCACGTCAGTGACCCAACAACCCACCACAACGTCAGAACCACGATTCTCCACCACAACAATACGGGAGTCATTTCCTGACGTCATACCGATATCTGTGGAGGGACAACACTGGAGCGTTGGAAATGGCTATAGAATGACCGGAGTCTGTATATTCCAGATTAAGCCAGTCCTTAACTCCTATAACATCATGGTGGAATTTGATAAAGAAACTTATGACATGACGGTAACTAGAAAACTAAACTATCCCGATTTCTATCATACTATCTGCACTTTGTAGAATCTAGAAATCAGATTTTGATAAAGTAGATTCATAACTTAAGGAAAAACGTTTGTTGTAGGAGTGGACAATGGATATCGAAGATCAACAGTCAAATGGGCTATGGTATTACTTGAAAAGCAGATGGCCTGAGAGGCAAAAAGAAATCAGATTGCGGTTTCAAGTTGACTTTGATTCTCTTCCTGTGCCATCTGGAACATGTACAATTGATAGAAATGGTCAAACTCTGACACCCAAACTTTCAACTGCAATGCCAACACCAACCACCAAAGCACCCACTCAGCAACCTTCGACTGCAGCACCAACACAACAACCTTCGACCGCAGCGCCCACACAGCGACCTTCAACTGCAGCACCAACACAGCAACCTTCAACTGCAGCGCCAACACAGAAACCTTCAACCGCTGCGCCAACACAACAACCTTCAACCGCAGCGCCAACACAACAACCTTCAACTGCAGCACCAACACAGCAACCTTCAACCGCAGCGCCAACACAACAACCTTCAACTGCTGCGCCAACACAACAACCTTCAACCGCTGCGCCAACACAACAACCATCTACTACTCAAGCACCTACAGGTGCCCCGGTAAATACAGCACATGACTATGGCTTCATTCTCCGTGAATCTATTTTATTCTACGAAGCCCAACAGGCTGGTTATCTGACAAATAACAGGGTTTCTTGGAGGAAAAATGCTACCACGTTAGACAGAGGTATTTACGGAGAAGACTTAACCGGGGGATGGTATGATGGTAAGAAAAGGCTAATTAGTATGGCATTTTTCACCTACTGCAATATTTATCCTCTTTGATTTTTTTTTGGTCTAAGTCAATAAAAAGTTATTCGGTAAAACGTCACTGTTCTGTCTCTAGTCTCTACATAAACTTCTTTTCAAATCGCTCTACATATTTTACAAATACATGTACAATCTTCTGTATCATTTTTGGTTCAAACACATACATGTACCTTATCTTGGATGTAAAAATAACGTAGAAATTGATCAAAATAACCTTTTAGATTATCCTTTGTGGCTGATTTAGTTATAATGTAAACTTTGCAATAACCTCCACTCATTAAGTTAAAATTTTACAACATGATATGGCAGTGTTTTTGTAAACAAAATCTAATAAAATAAAAAATATCCATAGCCCGAGTTCGCTCCCACAATTTTTGATTTTTATAAACTCAGTATTTGTCAGTAAAGCTAATTTTAGTCAAAGACGTCTTATCTTCAATTTCATAATTATGTACATGTACATGCATATATTAAATTTATATTTAATAGCTGGTGATCTTGTGAACTTTAACCTCCCTATGGCGGGTTCCACTACAAATCTTGCCCTTGGTTTATTTTACTGGAAAGACGCCTATCAACAAGCCGGGGAGCTTGATAATATGTACAACTCAATCAAATGGCCTTTGGACTACTTTCTGAAATGTTGGAATCCTAACAAACAAGTTTATTATGCACAGGTATTTTATTTTCATCTCAATATGTGATCATAATAAATCCTAGAAATTATAAATTTTTACAGTCTAATTCATAAGGAGATAATGTTATTGACCGCTATTTATTAGGTTGGTAATGGTGAACAGGATCATTCTCTCTGGAGACGAGCAGAAGACATAACCACCGCCAGACCCGTCTATTATTTGGATAGCAACAAAAAAGGAAGTGACGTTGTAGGAGAGACGGTAGCAGCTATGGCCGCTGGGGCTATGGTCTTTAAAGATAAAGGTGAAATGACATTTGAATCTTCACAATCGTAAAAACTAAAATAAAAATAAAATCTAAAGAATATCAGAACTGACAATGACGTTTTATGTTTTTGGTGGTTACAGATGCAGCATATTCCCAAAAACTTCAATCCAGTGCCGAGAGTTTGTACAGTTTCTCCAAGACAATTAAAGGCTTATACAACAATGACATTAGTGACGGGGCTAAATTCTACAGGTAATTACATCATGCAGCAAGTTTTCTTCCACTGAAATTTTCCTTTGTATCATCGACGCGCTTATCATAATGGACTAATTTACGCCGTATTATGTATTATAATTCATACCTTTGACAAATTTAAAGGATGGCATTTTTTCATAACTTGATAAGTATTGGCGCATATATCAAGGATTTATAAAAAATGTCATAGTGTATGGTATTTCAAGTAGAGATTAAAAGTTTGATAAATTGAGAACGAAAAATGTATGCATAAATTCTCAAAATTCAATTCTCCTTTTTTTCAAAGTTCCTCTCGGTACCAAGATGAAATGTGTACCAGTGCGACTCTACTGTACCTCTTGACGAATGACGCCACCTACCTAACTGAAGCCGAGGCTGCTTATAATGAGTATGCCAGCGATAGCGCCCCCTGGGCTTTTGACTGGGACGATAAAACTGCTTTGTGCCAGGTAAGTTTCAGAAAAAGAAATTTTGATGAGAATATTTGAAATTTAATACATTATTATATGCAAACTGTAACAAGATTTACTTTAGGTCAAATGCCAGAGTGATTATAAGATTTGGGCATGATGACAAATTCAAATTTTCGCGTTGATTTTATTAGAAGAAAAGCATGTATACATGTAAATGCATTCACTTGACTTGCTGTTTTAAAATTTAGATATTTTCAATGTGTAATTTCATTTATCATATTTTTGTTATAGTTTTGTAATGAATAGTGTAAAAATGCGAGAGATGCTTAAATAATTTGCTATGTATCATTTTCAGTCATGACAAAATCTTTTTTTTTTAAAATGAAAAGTATATCAACTGCATTGCTACATGTACGTATCAGGAAAATGTGTCGGTTTTTTTCTTACTAAATTTAGTCGAAATGTAAGGGCTTCTTACATCACACAGATATCAAAACGCGGAATATATTCTATTTTGCTTCTACACATTGACGAGTCAGCTACATATAAATGTATAGACATAATCACCATTTCATGATCTTTTTCAGGTCCTTCTATATGTAGCTACGCAAAAACCTGTTTATAAATCCAGAACCGAGAAATTTGTGACGTCATACATGCCTGGTGGCTCCCTGCCCTATACGAATTGTGGCCTAGCCTTTCGGTTGGAATGGGGCTCACTGCGATATTCTGGTAATTTAAATACTTCCTTAATTAAAAATCTGATTTTTTGGTGTCTTTTCATTTCTTTGATAAGAATATACCATTTCTATTGAAAACATTTTTTTCTATTTCATAATACATGTTTATGAAATTTTGTTATTTTTGATCCTTCAAATAGTAAAATTTCACCGATAAAAGATTACATAAATAACCCTATGTTATTTTTTTCCAACAGCAAATGCCGCTTTCATCTCGCTTCTAGCAGCACAAAATGGTATTGGAAATGTTGACTCTTACAAGACATGGGCAATGTCACAGATTCACTACATGGTCGGCGATAATAACCGAGACTTTAGTTACTTAATAGGCTATGGATCAAGTTATCCCTTAAAGCCACATCATAGTGGAAGGTAACCAAAAAAAATGAAGTTAAAGCTTGCAAGAAATTAAGTAGAAATATTAATACACAAACAAAATTTCCACGATTTTAAAGAATTCTTTTGATAAAAATTTTATTAAAATTCATGAACTAAAATGCAGAACTTTATCGTGTTTTGTTTCTTAACTTTGATTTAAAGTTACCATTATATTTACTTTTTTACCTTATTATATTTTGTAGTTCCTGTTCTCCTGCGCCTGCGCCCTGTGACTGGAGTACATACGGAAGCAGCGACCCTAATCCCAACGTCCTCAGGGGCGCCCTGGTAGGCGGGCCAGACATAAATGATAATTACGTTGATGACAGAAATAATTTTAAAACAAATGAGGTCACATGTGACTACAATGCCGGCTTTCAGTCAGCCGTAGCAGGTACAGACACCAATTAGCTTTATTTTTAAACAATGATATAACAGTTGAAGTTTTTAATGCATATATTTTATATTAAAAAAATTCTATTTTACTTTTAGGATTGCTCCATTTTGCGTTGAATGGAAACCTCCCGACGTCTCCGGCGCGGAAATGCTAAGAAATAAATTGGTGCTCTATTGTTTAATTTTGTTAAGATTGAAATAAATGAATCAAATTCATTGAATATGCTTGTTCTTTTCTCTTTACTCAATGTAGTTTGACTGCTACATGTACTTGCCAAGTAGTGATTTTTTTTTACAACGATTTTGGTCTCATGTTCAAGGATGGCTGGGACCATGAAATTCAAACTCTTTTTTATTGAAGTTCCAGCCATTTCAATGAATTGGTACTATGATCCAGTCGGTACGAGAGCTAGCTTTGCTTACGCATGTGTTCAACCTCTGGTGAGCCCTTGACGGACCGTACAAAAGTGTCACCAACTTTTGTAGTTTATTATAATATTAAAAAAAACTACTCAACCTACATGTCTTCGGGCAGTAAGTCCTAAGTCCTAGTCAAGGGTGATGGCTACTTTCAAAACTCACGCAACCGGAAATTGCTTTAAGGTTCATTGACCATCTGGCAAGAGGGATAACCTTTTTGGAATACAAGACTATTATTCCTTTAAAAAATGTCAAGTTAAATAGAATTTAGATTTTGTTCTGCAATATATGCTGATATGGTGGGAATTTCAATTATAAATTAGATTTTTTTTTTACCGAGAATCATTAGACAAAATTTTAAATGAGTAAACAAAGGAAAGATGTACATGTACATTAACTAGACTCGTAATTTAATTAAATCACACCTGTTGCATGTACCTATTCTTTGTCTGCTGAGTGGAGGCAAAGAGCATCTCCATATCGGTCTTATAAATGACATATTTTAATTATTGTATCAAGAAGTAGAGAATTGTTTAACATATATTAATATATTTAAAGGATTACAAGTCTTTTTATATCTTATATAGTTTTACTTGAGATTTTCAAATTGTACCACACTGAAAATTTAACTCTAAATATACGTGGTTATTAGTTATTTTTCAGTTTTATAAGATTAAATCAACTACCCATTGTTTTGACCATTGATCTAACTTATCTAAATCACTTGTCGTTGAGTTTGCTGCATTGACTATATCGATATATCAATTGACGTATCATCAAAAAATACTAGTATTCGATCATACATGTAGTTTGTTAAATTAGAATTAAAAATTATTGATAAAATAGAAATAGAAAGTTGATTTAAGTGTTGATGTATAACCATTTATGGCTATATCATGTTGTAAATTTTGCATTTACCTCCCCCTAGTAAATTCAAAACCTTTTTATTCAAGAAGTCTGTTTTATTAAGTATAATTATAGAAATCTAAATTACATGATAGCTACAATTTGTTTTATGATAAAAATGGATCAGAAATTCCATGCTGTCTTGATTTCATTATGATACCTTCATGCCAAGTTCTACCAAAGATAGATATGTGACAGAACTCTGCTTTATCAAGCTTGGATATAATAGTACATGTGTTACATATTTTAACCAGCTGGTAATAGTGGTTGAGTCACGTGCCTAGAATCCAAACTGAAATGTGTATATTACTAGTATATTATTTTTAAATATAGAATTGGTAAGTACTTAACAATAGTTTTTTCTATTAACTTTCAAACAACAGTTGCTACTGATATTGGGATCATTGTTTACATCATCTGCAACAGTTTTTCAAATGTTAGGAAAGGTTCATTATATAAGTGATATATCAGGGACGTATATACAATATTAGTACATTAATAAAGGCCCCTGGATATATTAAATATTTTATAAGGGGATTATGTATTGTGTGTGCAGCATGTCTTCAAATTCTAGATGCAACTGCATCAGAACCGAATGGGTTACTAAAATATATATAAAATGATTTGTATTTGGTCGAATATTTCTTTATCTGTAATACTTAATTGATGCATTTAACCCAATTTTTCAGACCTTTTTCACAAAAAATCTTACGACTAAGGCAAAAATTTTCCAATTCACCAACAAGCATCTAACCTTTAGTATGTCACACAAAAAATCTTATACTTCTATTGTATAAGTTTATATTGTTAAACAATATCATAAAGAAAAGTAAATATCTGTATTAAAAAAAGAATTACAAAGTTGTCAAATTCTTGTCTTGGTCGTAAGATTTTGTGTGTGTGTGTGTGTGTGTAAGGGGGTGTGTGTGTGTGTGAAAAGGATAACTGCATAATTATATATATTATATATATTTTTGTTTGTTTCTTTACTATTTTTTTATTACTTGTATACATCCTGGTGGAGAGATGCGTGGTTCCGTCTTCAGGTGGATCCTCCTTCATCAGCTGTTTCGGCGCTGTCCACTACAGCCTCAAGAGGTGCGCCGACTGGGGTGATCAGGTCCCAGCCCGGAACCACTTGGCTTAACATCACTGCTGTTCTATTTTACTGTCTATATCACTGCTGTATTTTAATTTTCTTGTCTTTCCACTTATCTGCTCTTCTTCTCCATAACCATATAGATGCTGACTCAGCCTCCCTACACAGATTCCCTATCAATCTCCTTCTCTCTGCTCCAGTGACTCTCAGTGCCCTCAACATAGACTGTCCCACAAATCCTCTACACCCCACTTCTACTGCGAAAAACCAGACCTTCCATCCTTTTTGTTGACAATCCGTCACTAGGTCTTGGTACTTTAGGTTTTTCCTCTTATATGCATCCTCCATTCTGCCTTCCCATGGTACTGTTAATTATATAAGAATTGTCTGTTTTGTTGCCACTGACCAGATAACTATGTCAGGCCTCTTGTTTGTAGCTGTTGGAAATTCTAATCTTTTCTTGAGGTCTGCCCGCATCTGCCAATCTGTTGCTGTCCCCAGCAGACCACTTCCTTCCACACTAACTTTATGTCCTTTTTCACCTTCTTTCACAAAGTGGACAAATCCGAGGTCCTAGCAAGTATATTTCCTCTTTCGTCAGACACTAATTAAGGCTTTTTTTATGATCTAGAGACTATCTCGGAACTGTCCAACCAAAAATAAGTGCAGGAGAAAAGAAGCGAGCCGAATACAACAAGCAAATAGAAACTTTTCGGAAAAGACATAATGAAGTAAGTTTTGCTTGAATTTTTTTATCAGTCGAAAAAAAAAATTATAATAATTTCCAGAATCTTTTTTTTTTTTTTGTTTTTTGTTTTTTTTGTAAAAGCGACAATTAAACAGGATTCTAAGAAAAGGCTTAAAAAAAGAGCCTTATCTCCATCAGTTCAGATTTTTGGGATAGTATATTGCCGCATTTCTTTTAATTAGTTTTATTTTCATCCAAATGAACCAATGAAATGAAAAATTGCAGTATACCGACCAACTCATGTGAAAAATATATACATACATACATTACCATACATTTACCATACATTTGAAGATAGAGATATAGGTTTGCAGAAGACGAGATTTTATAGAAAGTGGAACCGCTACACCCGTAAAATGTATCAAAGTTAACATGGAAATTAATGACGCTTTTGTCATTTTTTGGATGCTCAGCATATATTAGATCTTTACAAGAAATATGGCAGAATAAATGTGATTTTCATAAAGTCATTAATTGAACAAGGAGTTTCAGAATTTTTATCAAACTTCAAGCAAAGAGAAAATTAGTCCAAGAAATGGTTGCCACCCAGTAATGTGCACCAACTGCAAGCAAACAATGCAATACTCTTAATTCAAATGTCACAAATGAATATTTATTTAAAAAGTTTTTTCTCTCAATACCCAGGTACATTTTAGCAATTTTGATGGCTTTCTGGGCAGGAATAAGTCAGGCACGAAGAACAAGTGCACCGGTAAACACAGCACACAATTACAGCTTCATTCTCCATGAATCTATTTTATTCTACGAAGCCCAGCAGGCTGGTTATCTGACAAATAACAGGATTTCTTGGAGGAAAAATGCTACTTTATTGGACAGAGGTATTAACGGAGAGGACCTAACCGGCGGATGGTATGACGGTAGGAAAAATTCTATTTAGAATGACATTTAACACGTATTCGTATACTTTCGGCTTTTTACATGTAACTTCATTATTTATACACATGGGAAAAATAGTATTGCAACATCAAAGATATTCCCTTATTACAATTTTGGAAAAAAGAGCAATATTTTTTCCTTAGTAAGGCAATTTAGTATGTACATGTACCTTTCTTTACAATATACCTGTATTCAATTGTCTATAGTCAACTCTTTTATGCCTTAAAATCATCCATCGACTTTTGTATCACACACATCTAACAGAATTGCAAGTTTGTACGCAGTGCAAAGTTTGGTTCTTTATTTAAGTTAAACAGTATGACCAATAAGGTTCACTTTTCTTGCATACTGAATTTACGGCTGTTCCGCAAGTTTGTAATGCCATATGATGAAAGATTATTGGAATAGTGGAAGCAGGTATGTCATTTAAATACATTGTTCATCAAGTGGGTCATCATTCTTTTTTAAAACCATAAGTAGCAATGTCAAAAAGAACCAGTTATCATATGACGATACATCGTGCTAGATCGGGAACACCCCGCAAACATTTGTTCTGGGGACACAATGCACTCAGAAGGATAATAAGACAAACAGTTTTTTCCCAATAGCTCCGTTAAAAAAAAAAAGGGGGGGGGTACAACATCGTTTGCTTTTCAAGCAGAGCAGTGCGGAATTGACTTAAATAATTTTGCTATCATGCCATCCTCACATCGTCAGTTGATAAAAAAAACTGTAAAAACGTAGACAGTCATTAAGCAGTTGACAACTCGATGCACGTACGTCTTACAGGTTGTTTGTCACCGAAAGAATTAGAGATTAAAAAAAAAAACAAAAAAAAAAAAAAACCAATCAATATATTTTTTTAAATTTTTCACGAAAAACGTCGCTGCAGTCAGCCCACAGAATATTAAGTGAAGTTTGTCAGGGGTCCAATGGCCACGAATGGACTCGGGCAGAATCGCACATACAATATTATTTATAGATTCTTTCCCTTTCTGACTATTTTTAGTACAAAATATCGGAATAAAACGAAAAATTTCATAGTCCAAATTTATTCTCGCATTTTTAAGTGTACTAAGAAAGCCGCAGACTCGTTAAGGACATCGGATTTTGAATTTCTTTTATATTTTTAAATAGCTGGTGACCTTGTGAACTTTAACCTCCCTATGGCGGGTTCCACCACAAATCTTGCCCTTGGTTTACTTTACTGGAAAGACGCCTATCAACAAGCTGGGGAGCTTGACAATATGTACAACTCAATCAAATGGTCATTGGACTACTTTCTAAAATGTTGGAATTCCAATAAACAAATTTATTATGCACAGGTTATTATTTTTTTCGGTTTGGGAGAATAAATCTTCACGTTATATTGTTTATACAGTTTGAGGTACCAAGAATGATAAAAGGAAGTTATGTTATTGACCACTATTTATTAGGTTGGTAATGGTGAACAGGACCATTCTCTTTGGAGACGAGCAGAAGAAATAACCACCGCCAGACCCGTCTATTATTTGGATAGCAACAAAAAAGGAAGTGACGTTGTAGGAGAGACGGTAGCAGCCATGGCCGCTGGGGCTATGGTCTTTAAAGATAAAGGTGAAATTACTTTAAAAATTTTGAATCTTCACAATCGTCAAACGAAAATGAAATTGATATCAAAGGCATTTCAGAACTGACAATGATGCCTAATGTTTTTAATTAATTTTACACTTGCAGATGCAGCATATTCTCAAAAACTTCGCTCCAGTGCCGAGAGTTTGTACAGTTTCTCTAAGAAAATTAAAGGCGTATACAACGATGACATTAGTGACGGGGCTAAATTCTACAAGTATTTACTCCAAAGCAGAAAATACCACCACCCACCCCCCATATTTTATATTAATGCCCGAAACTTGGCTAATTTACTCTAAGATATCTAACTGTAAAGAAACGAAGACTTTCGTCAGTGAATTTAAAGCTTCAATGGCGAAATACATTTTGTCATGGGTTTATATGTAGTATTTTTATAGCGAATAAACGTTTGACAAATCGATGAATAAAAAAAATGTATGTATGACATCTCAAGTTAAACATTTACCTCATTTGTTCAAAGGTCCACTATATATCAAGATGAAATGTGTACCAGTGCAACTTTACTCTACCTGTTGACGAATGACGCCACCTATCTAACTGAGGCCGAGGCTGCTTATAATGAGTATGCTAGCGATATAGCTCCCTGGGCTTTTGACTGGGACGATAAAACCGCTCTGTGCCAAGTGAGTTTCTGAAAAGAAATTTTGAGAATATTTAGTGTACAGGATCACTATTTGCGTTTTTAGACATGGTTATTCAAAATTTATATATTTTTTAAATATAAAGACAAAGTAAAATTAATTTTCAGTTTCCTATGGACCGCTGCATTGATTAAACACTGCTGCATTGCTTCGATTTTATTCACATATATTTTTTGAAAAAGAAAAAAAAAAATCATTTTTCTATTTTTTTTTATTTAAAAAAGAAACACCCATACTTACACGAGTAGTTGCACAATACGAGTATATTTCTTATTATAACAGTACTGAGTAGTTCATGAATAAACTCTTTAATAAAAAGTTTTGAAAGACATTATTTAAATGTTGATTGAATACCAAATAATATAGGAGTACAAAAAACAGAGATTCATTTGGTATCAACATTTGATGAGAAGAGAGATAACTCCTGTTGCAAAAAAAAATCTGCCTGCAGCATTGAAAAATTGTGGCTCAAGAAACTATAAATTGTTTAACCCAAATAAAAGCTTTGCTTTTGTTTTGTAAAGAATAGAGTGAAAATGGGAAAGATGCATAAATAACTTTATATACATTGGTGGTAATTAAGTATTGACAGGAAAAGAAGGACGGGGCTGCACAGCTATGAGTAAAATCGAGTTATCGTTCCTAATTTAGTTCACATGCAACGGCTTCATCAAAGTAACACATATAATTACAGTTTACACCCTATACTGACAAGAAAAACTGAATATTTATCATTATAGGTCCTCCTATATGTAACCACCAAAAAACCTATATACAAATCTAGGACCGAGGCATTTGTGACGTCATACATGCCGGGTGGCTCCCTGAACTATACTAATTGTGGCCTAGCTTTTAGGTTGGAGTGGGGGTCACTACGATACTCTGGTATGTATTTTTTTTTCTAATTTCCAAATGTGCCACGGTGAGGAAATTGGCATGAGTTGCAGATGAAATACGCATTTCAGTCAAATTTTGATTTGTAAAAGACCAGCCTTTCAATCGATTAATTTAGTGCACCTTCAGGCTTTGCTAGACTGTTAAATTACTTACAAGTTTCATTAAATGTAGGAAGTATCAATATACATCACATCATTTCGATCATTATACCAATACCAAGGGGTTTTTTAAAACTATTTTAAATAAAAGTGAAAAAAATTATTTTTTAGTACAATAATTTTTCTAAGTTTGTATTTTTTCCAACAGCAAATGCCGCTTTCATCTCGCTTCTAGCAGCACAAAATGGCATTGGAAATGCTGACTCTTACAAGACATGGGCAATGTCACAGATTCACTACATGGTCGGCGATAACAACAAAAACTTTAGTTATTTTATAGGTTATGGATCAAGTTACCCCTTAAAGCCACATCACCGTGATAGGTAAATTTGGGGAAAAAATGCAATTTACGCTACAAGCAATTAAAAGTTGTGAATACACCACTAAAACTTGTTTGATTTTCAAAAACACTGATGAAAACCTTGCTGAAATGTATAAACTGTCATAAACATGTATCTTTTGTTTTTTGTAGTTCCTGTTCTCCTGCGCCTGCGCCCTGTGACTGGAGTACATTTGGAAGCAGCAACCCAAATCCCAACGTCCTCAGGGGTGCCCTGGTAGGCGGGCCAGACGAAAATGATAATTATGTTGACGACAGAGCTAATTTTAAAACAAACGAGGTCACATGTGACTACAATGCAGGCTTTCAGTCAGCCATAGCAGGTACAATAAATACTTTAATATATATATATATATATATATATATATATATATATATATATATATATATATATAACTCTGATTTAAGGACTAGGGAGACCAGACCATTATATATGGCTTAAGGAGACAATATACAGATTTTTTAAATTTGCTTTTTTCTAAAAAGAAATACCAGATCAAAGATCTATAGAACACCATTTAGTCGACTCTTGCTTTATTTTTTCATAATAAATGCCTCCTAAAAATATATGAAAAAAATGGTCTCCTTAATATTTTATGTTTCTCTCATATGACTTAAGGAGACCAGTGTATATTTTTCATAGATATAACTTGTGGTTTAAGTAGACCATTTTTCTTTCATAGTAATTTCACTTATTATGCATTAATTAACATATTGTTTCCAACCAGAATAGTTGCGGATGGTCATTAGTCAAGGTCAGCAGAAAGATATTTGTGCTAATGTGACTCAACATGATCAGTACAAAACTTTGAATTAAACTAAAGTCATTGCACAAGTGACTTAAATAGAGAGTAGTTGCCCCAGTGGCGCAGTGGTTAGAGCGTCTGCTCTAGAGTAGCGAAGTAAGGAGTTGATCCTTACGTCGCAGGTTCAAATCCCACTGTGGGATGGGGAGACCGGTCCTTCAGATGAGACCGTATAAATCGAGGTCCTGTGTCGCAGTAGGTGCTGGCACGAAAAAAAAATCCCTCGATGCTCAATGGCCGTAAGTGCCGAGTATAGGACAAAATTTGCAGTTCTCCACCAGCATGTGGTGGTGTCTCCATATGAGTGAAAAAATCTTGAGAGGAATGTTAAACAACATACAATCAATCAATATATAGAGAGTATAAGCCAAGATTAGCTTGTTCTGATATCCACATTTAACTCTCAATGCTGTCGCCCACGTGGTTCAGTGGAAAGAGCCTATGCTCTAGAGTCGTGGAGTTAGTTGATCCTTTTGTCACATGTTTGAATCCCACTGTGGGACGTAGAGACTGGTCCTTCGTACAAACAGAGGTCCAGTGTCGCAGTAGATGCTGGCATGAAAAAGATCCCTCACTGCCCATTGGCCCTGAGTGCCGAGCATAGGTCATTTGCAGCTCTCCATCGGCAAGTGTTGGCATCTCCATATGAGTGAAAAATTCTCCAGAGGGACGTTAACCAACAAACAAACTCTCAACGCCCAAAACAGTTTAACCTAAAAGTGAATGCAGACACAGATTATTCTTTAGACCAAGTATAGTATACTCCATATTGTTTTGCTGACGACAGAAAGTTCACAGTGGACATCAAGTAGTTTTTCCTGCTATTTATACCCAGCTTCTTTTAAACCATATAGTCACCGAGTGCATTCGCTTTTCCAACTAATTGGTGAAGTTCTGACCTATGCCTATATTTGTTTAAATTCTTTCTGATTTAAGAATACATTTGACCAGTTGAAACCAAGAGTACATGTACTACATAAAATTTCAAGGTTTGTGATTAAGATTCAGTAAAAGTCATGCCCCATCCAGTATAGCAATATGTGGATGCCATGTTCAATATACATATTTGCTATCATTAAACTTGCAGAGACCATGAATCAAAATAATTCAAATGCTTAAAAATCATTTTATTTTTACTGCTAGTCAAAATACAGTCACTCAAGCATATCCTTGATAGTTTAACATTTATTATTAATACCATACCAAAGCACAAGATAGTGCACTTCTTACATAATCCAATGATTCATGCTGTGATTTTACCTATTTAGATGCTTCTTATTTACAGTTCAGTATACATGATATACCAGTACAATGTGACATTAACCTAGAATCAGTTAAATGGATCATTACTATTCTGTTTTTAAGAAGTTTGCAGGGTAAAAAGTATAATAAAATAAAAATGTTGATACATTTATTGATTGCATATGCTAAAAACTTTTATAAAATATCAAACATTGTATCATAACAGCTTTTACAAATTAATTCAATACATTCAAAGGTACAAAAATCAAATTATTTTCATCCACAGTTTTATCATATTTAGTTGAACAACAGCTACATCTATTATATAAAATGTATGGTAGTTGGCACTGATGGTATATATATCCTGAGCAAAGAAAAAACATACCTTATCAAAGAATACAAAGCTCACTTCTACAAATGTTATCTACTAGTAAGGCAAAGTCTCACTCAACAAACACTTTGGTAATGTATATCACCTGGATCCAAAATCTATGCAAGTTGGTCTGGGTTAGATTTAACTGCTCAATAACCCTGAAAATGTATGTTACATCCAGCATCAGAAGCAGGATACATCATCTATGTTTACTGATCACCAAAGAGTATATTGTTACTTTGAATGAACCTTCTTTAAAAAACTGGTCATTAATCCAGAAAATCTAAGTCAAATCAAGGATTGGTACCCTGAAACATTTACATGTACATACATCATCTTTGCAGGTTTGTTCAACATAGAGTTTATAATTACATGAGAATAGGACTGCTCAAAACACTTAATCTTGTGGAGTCCCCCATGTGGCGCAAAGGATAGAGTTTGTAATCTAGAGTCGCAAGTAAGGATTTAATCCTTAAGTCTCAGGTTCAAATCCACTGGGGATGTGGGGACCAGTCCTTCAGATTAGACCATATAAACCGAGGTCCCGCCTAGCAGTTGATGTGGGCACAAAAAAGATCCCTTACTGCTCAAGGCCCTGAGTGCAAAGTATAGGTCAAATTTTGCAGTTCTCCACCAGCAAGTAGTGGCATCTCCATATGGATGAAAAATTCTTGAGAGGGATGTTAAACAACAAACAAACAAAAACAAAAAAACACATGAGGAAAATGTAGATCAGGTCAAGCATCTGAAGTAAATCTGTTAATGTGCTTTAATCCATGCAAGTTTGTCCAGGTAGAGCTTAGGAATGAACCTTGCTCCTTAAATTTTAACTGGGATGACAATGCTAGGTATATAGTAAGAACTCATCTAGACTGTCCAGAAAATCTAAAAAATATTTAGCAATTTCTTACTTGCATGATTTAAAAAAATCTGCAATCTAACATTATTTCAAAAAAAATTTCAACACATTTTCTAATTTTCAACAAATTCAATGCACTATGAGACGATTTAACATTTCTGTACTTAAAGTGCAATATACATGCATTATACTGTATGTTAAATCTTTACAGTTTTCTTCAAGTACTCTAATAGTATATGAAATATGAAGATTACCAACAGTGATCAAGCTTTTAAGTCCATTGAAACAATACATAATTAGAGCAGAGCAAACAGACCTCTAAAAACACCAGGTGCAATGGAGGAGAAAGCATTTCCTGCCATGTGCTCCTTGACATGATTGGGCAAATGGAAAAATCCACAAACAATTCAGTGTAAACAATTTTGATGAAAAACATTAGTCAACATTCAACTTAATGATCGATTGAATTTGCTATAACAATTAATTTACACGTAAGTGTACACACATGTATGCATACTAGATGAATTATTTCACAATATCCAAAATTGGACAATAATAGTTTCTAATCTAGCTAGACAACAGGAAATTTTCATTATTACTTAAATTACATGAAACTATTGAAGTCTACGAGATACAAATTATATCTAAAAATTATACACATTTTAACAAGTGTTTACAGTTTAGTGTATTTATTATACACAAATGATGACTTAGTAATTATGACTTACTATTAAAGTCCACAGATTGACTTCCAGATTTCAGCTCAAAGGCTTGAAGATTTTTAGTGGCTCTTTCATCATTTTTTTTTCACTGAATATTTTCATTTTTATTTTCAAGACGCTGTTTTTGTTGAGGTCTTTTAGCAGTTTGATGCAATCCAAGAACTCCAAGGGCAATTTAAGAACTCCTGAATTTCTTTCTTACCTGGAAAAAATAAAAATTTAAAAGTTTAAAATATATTCAACTTACATGAAGAAAACTGGTAAAACTAGTGATAATGTAATAGACCTTTCAGATGTTCCAAAGCAGCTACATGTAACTAATTAAAAAATATAAAGTTTGAAGTATTTAGAGTCACCTGTATTCTGAACAAGGGATATGTGTATTTGACAGACAGATGAATGAATAGACTGATCACTATAGAGCACCTTAGTCTTTTTTCAATAATCTTTATATTAGTGAAAATCAAATAGGAACTAGAGTGTTTCAAGGAATGTATATGTCACCTGCTAGGTATCGTCATTAAAGAGGTAAATAAATCTAAGAGTGGTCAGCTATTAATTTAATATTAGCATGGAGGTTCAAGCATTTGCCTGCAAGGAAAAAAAAGATCCAAAAGTATTTAAAAGACTGGGATAGAATCTGGCAATCAAAGAAAATATGGTTCCCCAGTCCTCAAATGAATAATTTAATTGAAATTATGAGGAATAACTATTTATCATTTTATTAATACACATGTAGGTGCTTCCAACAATCCTCGGAGGAAATGAATTTCAGACTGTCTTTACTTTAATTGTCACTTTGTCAGTCAACACGATTCATTGTGGAATACTGATCCCAATGTATTTTCATAGTATTTAAATATAAGTTTGTGTGGTAACTGAATTTCATACAGTTTCAAAGTATAGTATCATGAGCTCAAAAACATATATAAATGCTAATTATCAAAACCCTGCCTCTCAAAATTATGGAGATATAAGGTGTGACAGACGGACAGACAGACACCAGGTAAAGTGATCTCTAAGTGTCGTTCTGCTCTGCAGTTGACACAAAAATGAAAGTTAGTCAATTTTTGACCATGTATATCACTTCAGTGATGAAAGGAATGCTGAAGTGGTAAGTCTATCCTAATTATTTGAAAATACGGCAACCCCATTGGTCAGAATATAATACATATGCTGTCCAGCCTTAATTTCATTGGCATAAAGCAGCACAAAATACGATTTTATTGGATGGTGCAACTTGTTTTTCTAGGGGGCGCTGTTGCAACCCTGGAAAAGAAAACAGGACTGGGGATTGCCCCTAGGGGGCACTTACTGACCGGAAGTAAACAAACAACAGAAATAGCAATACACTAGAAATATGTCCATAGGACATGTATGCCCGCCGAGTGTATAGTAATGCAACATGAAATATTGTGTTAGTGTATGAAGTTTGATGAGAATATCTTGAAAAGTTTCTTTAAAATTGAAATTGAAATCTAAAAAAAACGGATATAGATGATAAATTCTCACCAAATTATGTATAGATGCATAGCCTTAGATATCAATATTTTCAATGGTTTTAAAACCATGCAAAATGCAAATTGAAGGAAAGAGAGGTCAAGGTCACAGGAAAGGTCAAAAGTTTTTGAAATAGTTGAATAGGTCTTACTAATTATATATGTATCAGCATATTAAGTTTGATAAAAAATATCTTGAATGATTTCTTTAAAACTGAGCTAGTCACAAGCGTGGCTGCTCTAGAGTCGCGAAGTAAGGAGTTGATCCTTATGTCGCAGGTTTGAATCCCACTGTGGGACATGGAGACCAGTCCTTCGGATGAGACCTTATAAACCAAGGTCCCATGTCACAGTAGGTGCTGGCATGAAAAATACCCCTCACTGCTCAAGGGCCATGAGTGCAGATTATAGGACAGAATTTGCAGCTTTCCACTGGCAAGTGGTGGCGTCTCCATGAGTGTAAAATTCTCGAAAGGGACTGCAGATTACCTGTAATGATTGACCAAAATCCCTACTAGGCTTTAAACTCTTCATTCTTGACCTGTATTTCGTCAAATAAGATTTTTCCAGTTAATTAAGGTAAAATTACTAATTGTTAAAACTGTAATTTTTTTTTTTTTTTTACCTGAGCCAGATTTTTACTTTTCTTAAAAGTGTCTGTATTTGACTGTTGGTTCAACCTATCTCAAGGAAATGATCTGTAATAGTAAATGTTAGAAATCATAATCTGTTCTCTATCTACTATAATCACGAGAAAAGGTGCTGAAAATTAACAGATGGAGATAAAATCAGCAGTCATATTAAAGGCTTTTTTCAATAATCAATTTATTAGTGAAAATCATAAAAGTATTAGGCAAAAAGGAAAAATAAATGTTGTCATTAATTAACCTTGCATATCTCTACAATTTTCTGATAAGAAAATTATACCCGATAGATGCAATATAATCACCCTTTGCCTGCCCCTAAATTAAATTATGAAATTTTGATCGATTTTGATCTAGTAAGCAATTATTTAAAACAAGGTTTTTTTTTAGAGGTGTCTAGGGTTGAAATTCATAGAAAA